GTGCAATGCCCATGGATGTCAGAAGAGGGTGTTGGATCCCCTGGAGCTGGAGTTACTGCTGGTTGGTAGCCACCACGTGGGTGTTGGAAATTGAACCCAGGTCTTCTGCAAGAGCAGCCAGTACTCTTAACCACTGAGCCAGCTCTCCAGCCCTGAAATCCTAGTTTTGTTCTTGTCTTTGGTATTGACTTTCTTGACAGGAAAAAAACAATTGACTGGTATCAGATTGGAAAATCTTGGAACTATCTTCTAAAGATGGCTGGTGGGAATCTTGTCTCTCTCCCTGGTGGGAATCTTGTCTCTCTCTCTCTCTCTCTCTCTCTCTCTCTCTCTCTCTCTCTCTCCCCCCCCCCTTCTCTCTTCTGCGAGGAAAATCAGTGTGTAGAATCACGATGCCTGGGTTGGTGCCTGGGTTGGTGCCTGGGTTGGGAAACACATCCAGCACTGAGCTCTCATTTCTGTCTTCGGAGTCCCGTCACTGCCATCTGCAGCCTGTGTTTATTAGTCTTTTTCATGCAAAATGATTTTTTTTTCCTCCAAAGCACTAAGCAGATGGCTCTAGCGCCCTGCCAGCACATGACATCTATGCAATGGCTCCCATGTGGGCTGGCTGGGGAACCCTCCTGTGCCTCCAGCCCCCTCCAGCACTGAGAAAGCCTTCCTCTGCTTGCAAAGGCACAAGTGGTGGTACTTACATTCTTAATGATCAGTGGGTATCTCGTGACCCGCTGCATGGGCTTCAGTATGAAGCTGGAAAGTGGCATCCCTTTACACCGAGGGTCCATTGCCAGTCTCTGAAAGAAAAGATTTTTTAAAATGTGTTGCCGAAATCCGCAAAATCCATAGTCAGTGACATCAAATTTGTCGTTTAGGATTCCCCACCCACTGGACAGTCACTGAGGAGCCTGGAGTTGGAAGGGGTTAATCAACTATCATCCAGCCTGAGGCAGTTTCCAGAGGGAGGACAGGGAGACCCTCAGATGTGACCCATCCACCAGGGGTACACCCTGCCCTCTGGACTCAATATTCCTTCCATGGGAGGAGAGTCTGGCTTCAGAGAGTATTTCTTCCAGGTGTCTGAATAAACTTTGTAGTATCCCAGGGAACCAGAAGAGTCCAATGACTATGACGACTATGCAGTGAGAACAAAAATTCTCCTTAAGTCCCAGAGAAGCCAGAAGGGCTGAATCTGACTGTCTAGTTTCAGGTGGAGCCTGCACAGGCCTTGAGGAGGTCCAGGTGGGACACGGAGTCCAACCTGAGGGCTGACACTCCAGTCTCCATCTATGGCTCCTGACCTTTCCTCTTGCCATTTAAAAAAAAAAAAGATTTTGGGGCTGGAGAGATGGCTCAGAAGTTAAGAGCACTGACTGTTCTTGCAGAGGACCCAGGTTCAATTCCCAGTGCCCACATGATGGCTAACAACCAGCCATAAATTCAGTTCCAAAGGATCCAATGCCCTCTTTAGATCTCGGTGGGCATAGCACGACACGTGCACGCATACATATATGCAGGCAATACACTCATACACTTTTTTAAAAAAAACTTTTTTTAAAGATTTTGTTTAATTTTATGTGTATGAGTTTTGCCTGCATGTCTGTCAAGTGAACCATATGTGTAGAGTACCTGCAGAGGCCAGAAGAGGACATCAGATGCCCTGGAACTAGAGGTACAGATGGCTGGGAGCTGCCATGTGGGTGCTGGGAACCAAACCTGAGGCCTCTGCTCTAACTGCTGAGTCATCCTCCAGCCCCTTTCCTTGTTCCACTTAATATATATATGTATATGTATATATACATATATTTCTCTCTCTGAGAGAGAGAGAGAGAGAGAGAGAGAGAGAGAGAGAGAGAGGCGGCATGCATGTGGAGAGTCAAGAAACACTTTTGGGATTTGATTCTCTCCTTCTACCTTTATGTGGGTTCTGGGGATTGAACTCAGGTCATCAGGCTTGACGGGTGAGTGCTTTATACTCACCCTTCTCACCAGCCACACAACCTCTTATACTTTTGCCAATTCTGTGGATTCCTCTAGTGAGCAAGAGTCCTTCTACCTACAAAAAGGAGAGCCTTATCTCTCCATGATGAAGACTGAGGTCCAGTTTAATGCCTTAGACACAAGCGCCTAGAGCTCTGACTGACACCCCAAATGATCAGTGTCTGGGCCTGATGCCCGGCCATGGTCACCATCACTTTGGAAACACTCACAGAAGGAAAAACTCCTGTTGAGTGAAGCAGGGGGAGGATGAAGGGGGCAGGTGAGCAGGGAAGGGAGGGACAGCAACCCCCCTGCCCTGGGCTGCTCTCAGCCTTCCCTAAAGTTTAAGCAGATCTAATGATGCCCTCATCCTGTCCATGACCAGGAACTGGACCCTTGGCTGAAATTGCCAGCAGCTTGGCATCTGCCCTCCATCTCCTTCTCAATCTTGGCCCACTTCTTAACCTTCTTTCTCACCTTTGGATGGCCTTGGCTGTCTCATTCATTGGCTAATAGCCAAGTACTTGTTATGGAGAAAGACTAGTGTGGGGGAAGAGGCAGCACACTTATGTGAGGCTCTGCCCAGAAGACACCACAGTGTCAACTCACTGTGATGATTCAGCAAACATGATTCTTGAGTGTGATGTGTCCCTCAAAAGCCCAAGGTATAAAGACATGCTATTTATTCACCAAAATATCCTAGGGTATCGAGGTTATTTAATTCTCTTCTTGTTTTTTTTTCTCCTGAGAGAGTTGGGGGCTTTTTAAGTATCTGGTATGATCAGCAGGGACCCACTCTAGCCAACACAAAGTCCCAGGGCTACAGGCCCAGAGTGGAGCCTCCAGCAGTATTGATGTTACCTCCACAAATGTCCCCTGGTTGGACACATGTCTTTCTAGACCCTGCTAGGCCTGCAGCAGGGGTTGTGGATTCAACCTTATGTTGAATCCTGTGGGCTGCCCAGAGCTTGAACCCAAGCTTTCCCACTGGGAAAGGGACCAACAGGTTATAGAGACCCTGGGGATTCCTTCTGAAGTCAAAGGGTAGAGAACTAAGGATTCTGAGATTAACTGAAGGGGACCTCTGTCTGCATGACCAGACAAATGAAAGATTTAGGCATGCCTTTAAAAAGTACTACTGCCGGGCGTGGTGGCACACGCCTGTAGGCCCAGCACTTGGGAGGCAGAGGCAGGTGGATCTCTGTGAGTTCAAGGCCAGCCTGGTCTACATAGTGAGTTCCAGGACAGCTGGGGCTACAGGGAGACCCTGTCTCAAAAAGACAAAAAAATAAAAAATAAAAAATAAAGTACTACTAACACCTGGACAATAGCTCCCTGAGAATATTTCAAAATTTTCAGACCCAAGGATGGCCCTCCATTCCAAGCACCCCTTGGGTGACAGTCACACCTGCCAGCTTAGTACCAGTCAGGATGTCCATCCCTGGTGGCCTTTAGTGGAAAGACATCTGCAGACCCTTGACAATCCCCTCATTTCCACCCTTCACTCTGGAGACGGTCTGCAGGGTGTCCCTACAGACCAGCCTCCTTACTTTGACGAAGTCCTTGAAGTCCGGGGCCTCATCTGTTTTCTGCTGGATCAGGGCAGCCCCATTGAGCTGGCAGCTGCAAAAGCGGATGTAGGGCTGCATGTGTGGCAGCTGGGCACTCAGGATGTCACCGATCATCTTCACAGGCATCTTCTCCCCTGACATCTTCTTTCGGACTCTCAGTGCCCTGCACAGAAACACAGGGGGTGAGCTCCCACCTCACATTGCCTGCCAGCACCGCAGCACACTCCTAGGTTGTACAGAAATGGAATATGTGTGAGGGGCGTGGACCTGGAGGTCACTAAAGCATCTACTTTGGAGACAAGGGGCAGAGAAAGGCATGAATCTAATGCTACAGAGGCATCACCCGGGCAGTTTACTTTGGCATGGTGGCTGTTTGCTACACTTTTTTTTTCTTGTGGAGAAACATGGACTCCTTTCTTTAGTAACTCAGAAAGGGTCCCCATGTTGGTGCCCCCCTCCATGCATTATCTGTGGTGAAAACCTCAGGCTAGTGTGGTCTGTGTACTGAGCCTATTCCTGAGGCCCTTGTCCTCCAAAGAAAGATAGTCGCCAGGGGAGGAAGAGGCAAACTTTCAGATCAATTGCCACAAAAAAGATCCTGTTAATGTTTCATAAAGCCAGATAAAATTTGACCTATCTCTGCTGTTCATTGCTTCATTGCTGTGGCTAATGTAAAGTTGACTAGATTAAGAGTTTGGGGGCAGGAAAAAAGATTGTTACTATAGCAATGGGCCAATGAACCCAAACAATGTCTATCTTGGAAGCTGAGAAGAGCTGTTGAAACATCTGGGAAGTGTTTGTTTTGGGGTCTACCTGCCCTGTGAAGTGTTCAAGGCCATGAGAGCCAGGACTGTGCCTCCAACTTTCCAACTCTAAAGCACGCAGTCTTACCAGCATCTGGAAGGAACTCAGCCTCTACACAGCAAGGATAGCAATGTACTACCAGGGAGGAACCACAACACCTGAGTCCCTGGGTATGTCCATCTGCCCTCATGATTACAGGAAGGTGGGTAAGTGGGTGGGTGTGTGGATGGGTAGGTAGGTGAATGGATGAGTGGGTGTGTGGGTAGATGCATGGATGGGTGGATGGGTGGATGGGTGGGTGATGGATAGATGGATGGATGAAGACAGAATGATGGAGTATATGATTTTAACACAAGGCTGGGAGGTGCCCCTCTGAACTCCTTTGGCTGCTTTCATGGTCATATTGGAGAAGTCCATGAGGTATGGGTATGACTATATAATTCCAAGAAGGTTCTTCAGTCTTAATCTTTGATTTCTTTTTTTTTTTTTTGGTCTTTTTGAGACAGGGTCTCCCTGTAGCCCCAGCTGTCCTGGAACTCACTATGTAGACCGGGCTGGCCTCGAACTCACAAAGATCCGCCTGCCTCTGCCTCCCAAGTGCTGGGATTAAAGGCATGTGCCACCACGCCCGGCTTTTTTTTTTTTTCGCATCAGATTGGTAATGTGCCAGTGTGTAACAAGATTCGAGGGCAGCACATGTCACACATGCAGGTGAACACCCAATCATCACACTTAAGAACCACAAAAGGACAAGTCTTTGATTTTTTAAAATTTCAGGTCAGTTTTTCTTTCTCCCACATTTATTTTTTATGCTAGAGAGAATTTCCTTGCCCTGGGAAAGCCAAGAGATGAAACTTCAAGGACAAGAAATTATATAAGCAATCAGCAGTTTCCCCTCTAGTGGATGGTCTCATGGGAAGGTCAGCAATGGCCACCTGGAGTGGGAGAATATGGCCCAAGGACCTCTGTCCCATTGAGGGGTTGGTGCAGAATGTCCCTAAAAAATGTGCTCAAGGCATCCACCATCAGCCACTATTACTCTTGGAGGATGATAACCTTGAATAATCGCAACACAAACTTGCTGTGAATGCAAACAGGAAGGAATCCCATCACTTCCTTCAGAAGTAGCTTTTCTGGAAGGATTACACAAGTACCTTTACCTTCTCCCTTCTTTTTAAACAACATAAAGAAGAAAAGATGGGGGGCATGGGGAGAACGATCCCACGTACATAGTTACTAGTCTGGGGATGTTAAGCCTGTTCTCAGGTTCTGAGGCTCCCACTGATAGACTCAAGTTGCCCAGCCAGGAGGCCAGCCTAAAATGATGATGGCCTGGCCTACTAGAAGTCCAGCCTCTATTAGGTTCACATGTGGGACTCTTTCTGGAATGTTCTACTGCACAGACCAGACTTGTGAGTAGAAGGTGGTCCAGTAGTTAGGATCATATGACTCAGTCATTGTAATCACAACACTGAGAGTACTGGCAGTCTGGAAAGCTGAGCTGCAGCTGAGCTGCAATCTTATAGAAAGACCTTCAAGTGAGAGGCTTGGTCTACACAGGGTAGCAGGTCAGCTAATGAGCATTATACAAAGCATTCACTGGTTGTTGAATGCAACTGTGTCCCAATTCTCTGACATCTGCAGAGCAAGTGGACAGTCCTACACAGTCCTAGCATTTATTAATGTGTTCCACGTACCAAAACTTTGTTCTTATTTTATGTGTATGAGTGTTTTGCCTGCATGTATGTAAGTGCACCTGTGTGTGTAATGCCCATAGAGGCTAAAAGAGGGCATTGGATCCCATGGAATTGGAGTTACAGGCAGTTGTTAGCTGCTGTGTGGGTGCTGGGAACCAAATCCCTATCCTCTGGCAGAGCAGCCAGTGATCTTAACTGCTGAACTATCTCTCCAGACCTTTACCAAACACTTTCATTTTATTTTTTAGTTTTTGTTTTTGACAGAGTTTCCTTAGTCCCAGCTCACCTGGAAGTTACTATGTGGACCAGGTTGGCCTCGAACTCACAGAGATCAGCCTGTCTCTGCCTCCCAAGTGCTGGGATTAAAGGTGTGTGCCCCACATGTGTGCAATGCCCATAGAAGCCAGAAGAGGGCATCAGATCCCCAGAACTGGAGTTAAGGATGGTTGTTAACTGCCATGTGGGTGCTGGGAACTGGTCCTGAGTCCTCTAGAAGAACCCCCAAGTGCTTTTAAATGCTGAGCCATCTCTCCAGCCCCCCAAACACTTTTTAAAATGTATATTACTACCAAAGTTTAGATGTGAAATGTTTCCAGTGGCCTGTCTGGAAGACTCAGTGCCCTACCTGTATTAGAAAACAGCTGCACCTTTAAGACCTGAGGCCCAAGAAATTAGGTAGATGAGGGTATGCTCTTAAGGGGATGTTGGGGGCCTGGCCATTACCTAAATCTCTACTTTTCAGCTGCTATGAGGTGAGCAGCCCCCTCACCATGTTCCACTGTGGCATTCTTGCTGGCTATAAACCCTAAGGCTAGGGAAGGCTAACCAATGACAGACTGAGACTTCCAACACTGTGAGTCAAAATGAACCTTTTCTTTTACTGAGTTGATTGTCTCAGGTGTTCATGTAATAAAGGAAAGCTGACTAAGATCATTCATGCACATTTCCTGCAGTGGAAACAAACATGTAGGAATCCATGACTTTATCAAAGTCAAGTGGCTCAAAGATGCAGGGGCAGCCCTCGAACCCAGGCCCAAATCCATAGCCTGCAGGTGGGAATGGGCCTTGACCCTTCCCCCACCCCATCCTGGGGCTGCTCTGGCACCTGCTTGTCACCCCAGAGGTGGCTCCTGCCTTGCCGTTCTCTATAGCTTGTCTCGGTCCCACATCCTCAGCCTCTGCACCTCCCTCCTTGGGTCCTTCCTATCCATCCCTTCTTCCTGTCCCCACTCCCAGCCCCACTATCTTCCTCTTTTCCTTCTTTCAGCCGGTCTTAACCACTTAGATTCTCTCTTTCTCTCTCTCTCTCTCTCTCTCTCTCTCTCTCTCTCTCTCTCTCCCCCTCCCTCCCTCCCTCCCTCCCTCCCTTAGTCCTTCCCTTCCTCTCTCCCTCCCTTTCATTTTTGCTGGAACAAAATAAAATGTTGTATAGTTTTCTTCAGTTAAAAAAAGGTGAGTTGATGTGGTGGCACACGCCTTTAATCCCAGCACTCAGGAGGCAGAGGCAGTTGGAGCTCTGTGAGTTTGAGGCCAGCCTAGCCTACATAGTGAGTTCTAGACCAGCTGGGGCTACAGGGAGACCCTGTCTCAAAACAGGGTTTCACTATGTAGACTAGCTAGGCCTGAACCTGAGTATTGGGATTAAAGGCATGTGCACCACAGGATAAATATTTTAGTGTGTGTGTGAGTGTGTGTGTGTATGTGTGTGTGTGTGTGTAGATGAGTGTATTGCCTGCATGCATGTAAGTGCACCCATGTCCTGCAATGCCCAGAGGTCATAAATACTGGAACTGGAGTTATGGAAGGTTGTTAGCCACCATGTGGATGCTGGGAACTGAACAGGTCTTCTGCAAGAGCAGCCAGTGCTCTGAACTGCTGAGCCATCTCTCACGCCCCTGGGTAGATATTTTAATAATAACAATTTTTTTAAAAAGTTTCAGAGCTGGGTATGGTGACACAATCTGTGATCTTAACATATGGAAGGCCAAGGCCAGCCTGAGCTACATAGAGCTACCCTGTCTTTAAAAACCAAAAGCAACAAGCTATAGACATGATTCCTGAAAGATCAGAACAATGTCTTCTGCACATGTCAGGACCACTGTATTCATGAACTCACGGCAGCTGTGACTGCCTGCACAAGACCTGCACGAGATCAAATCAGCCAACATCCTAGCACAGATGTAGGAGGGGTTCATGAGCTCCCATCCATAACTGAGGAGCTTCTGAGGGAGGGAGAGTCAGTTTTCTTTACGGGTGTGACTCCTGGTAAGTTGACCTTGCTCCAGTGGTTGGCCCACACCCAGGAGTGTTCAGGCATGGGTTATTAAAGGTGGGGGAGCTGGAGAGATCGTGGAACAGCTCTTGCAGAGGACCTGGGTTTGGTTTCTAGCACCCAAAAGGTGGCTAGCAACTGACTGTAATTCTAGTTCCAGGGGATCCAATGCCCTCTTCTGGCCTCTGCAAGGCATTCCATAGATGGATGCATTTGTATACATGCAGACAAAACACTCATACACATAAAATTAAAAAAATAAATAAATAAAATGTTTTGAGACAAGGTCTCCTGGGGTGAGGGTGGGAATAGATTTGGGAGAAGTTGGGGGGGAAGTGGGGGTTGAATATAATAAAAACACACTGTATGAAATTCTCAAAGAATTAATAAAAATATTTAAAACGAAAGCAAAACAAATTCACTTCCTTTCCCTTCTGATGGCTACCTCAAGGGGCTCATACATGGACTCTGGATATAAAAATGTTCTAGATCTTTCTGCCTACTCTCCTGATCAAAGGCACATCTCTCCCTCTCCGTGCACCGGTTAGGGAGCTTTGTCATTTGTTCTACTCTTGACTCAGGCGATCAGCAGCAGGATGCCCACGTTATCAGTCAGCCTCCTACTGGCTCCATTTTCATGTGTGGTATTTTTTGATAATTCCTACAGACCCCCTAACTAAAAGAGGTACATCCTAAAGTGGACAGCCCATGCTCCAGCGAATGACCCTATACCCCTGTACACACGGGTAGCACTAATTGGACTTACAGGGTTATTTTAAAAAGGGGAGTGGGAACCGGGCATGGTGGCACACACCTTTAATCCCAGCACTCAGGAGGCAGAGGCAGGCAGATCTCTGTGAGTTCAAGGCCAGCCAGGTCTACATAGCAAGTTCCAGGATGGACCTATAGGAAGACCCTGTCTCAAAAACACCAAAAAGAAGGGGGAGTGGGAGTGGGATATGAAGTTGGGAAGTAGTCAGGGGGTGGGGGGACTACGGACAGAACACATTGAAGGGCTGGAGAGATGGCTCAGCTAAGAGCATGTACTGCTTTTGCAGAGACCCATGTTCGGTTCCCATGACTTACATAGGTCAGCTTACAAAATACATTGTATTACATGTATGAACTTTTCAAAGAATAAATAAAATAAAATTTTAAGTAGCTGTACAACACTACCAAAAAAATAATTAACTATAAAAAGGAAGAAAAGCCGGGTGTGGTGGCGCACACCTTTAATCCCAGAACTTGGGAGGCAGAGGCAGGTGGATCTCTGTGAGTTCGAGGCCAGCCTGGTCTACATAGTGAGTTCCAGGACGGCTGGGGCTGCAGGGAGACCCTGTCTCAAAAAATACACACAATAAAAGGAAGAAAAGACAGACAGTGCCGGCAGCTTGCTAGTGGCAATCCAAGGACCTCTGGCTTGAATTTTCTTTGTCTTGATGCCTGCCTCTTCCAGCCAGCCAGGAGCCTTCAGATCTCCCCAAGAGGAGGATTACTACTTTGCATGAAGAAATTATGTGTAAGTAGACAAGCAAACACAGCAGTGTTTCGTATATGATTTACATTGCGGGTGCTCACTCTAGAACTCTTTCAAGTTTCCTATAGGTTTGGAATTGTTCATAATGTACTATTAGGAATAAAATGTGAGAAAGAAGAAGAGATCACACCCAAGGACTCCTGTTAAATAAATATAAGTGTCAGGCTGGAGAGATGGCTCAGCAGTTAAGAACACTGACTGCTCTTGCAGAGGACCCAGGTTCAGTTCCCAGCACCCACATGGCA